CCCCTCAATCGATGTCTTCCAGCCTCCACCCCCGACGTAGCGTCGCCCCGCCCCGCGCGCGGGAGCCTGTGTTCTTGAGTTCCTCTGTTTTGCTCACAAGTTCGATGCCTCCACGTTTGTTATTGTTATAATGTCACCATTGTTGCAAGACAAAAGAGAGTAAATGTTTTTTCAAAACTTCGTTCCGCTGTCTTGACGTTCCAAGTCTGTTGCTCTGTTCGCTCTATCGTGCGTGCTAGCTGTGGTGTGTTTCAGGTTCTGCTAGCGCCCGCTATCCCTAGTCTGCTGGTAGCTAGCCCAGCGTCCCGCTCTAGCCATTGTCTATCGTACTACCATCTTATTTTTGGACTGTCTTTGTAACATAGTTTTCCCAGTGTAATCTTTATCACAAAAATCACTTCTTTAAAATTGTTTTAAAAAGAATTAAAACTTGTTAGGCCTATTTAATTAATATTCTCTTTAATTATGAAACAATATTTCAAAAACCAGGTATAACACGTAGAAGATATATGATAACAAAATTTAACCAAGGTTTTGTTCTAAAATGTTTATAAAACAATATCGTTAAATAAATACATGTAAAGAAGCCACATGTCCCATCTAAAACCACGCCTCGTGTGCCTAACCCTAATATGTTGCAGTAAACTAACAGCCATCCCCGCCTTGGGCGGCGGACTGACAATCAGCTCTGGTTGTTACTGTGATAGCGCGGCGAACGGCGCGGCGCCATGTTCACCCAGGCGAGCGAGCATGGGCTGACTCACTCATTTCATCCTAGTGTACAATGTAAAGAAAAACATGCCAATTGTCAACATTTGATGGCACGTTGATAAACTATTTTTTGAGATATTCTCTACGAGAATGAATCTGTCCCGCCATGATAAATGGCAGTAATAGAGAGAAAAATACACCTCTCTCGAGACTGTAAATGTTGTCTCTTTTAGAGAAACCCCTGTTCTCTCTTTCATTCTGACACTCATTTTACTTAGCTGTGCTACATCCCCCGGGAGAGGCTTGGGGCCCTTGCTTTATCTCCTGCCCTCTGTTGCCGAAGTGTAAAAAATAAAAAAAATCCTCCGCCTAAAGCGATATCCTAGCTGTAAACTGGGGATTTGCAAGAAAGCTTTTCTTTTAGCCCTCCCATTGATTCCTGCTACTTTCGATCGATTTTGTAAGTTTGCAGCACCAGATCTGTACAAAATCCTGTCACGAAGCCCCAAGGTTTTATGATTGCCTCTTAAAACTTTAGCAGTCTAAACTGTTGCCGCTGTTTTATGTTTTAAGCTTTAATTTCCCCGTAGAATATCTTAATTTCACGCCACGAGCTTGTAGACGTTTCATGTGCTTATTTTGATTCTCCCTATTTTCTCTTTTTTTCTAAGAGCAGCAGCTCTGAAGCTTATTTTGGGCTATCCTTTGACCAGAAACAAGTTTCCTGTAGTAGTTGTACTGTTCTGTAACAGTTTCAACTACACTTCCTTGTGTGCGTGTGTGGAAGTATCATTTTTTCAGCGACCTATTCTCCTTGGCTACCCTCATCAAAACCTTTCTGACCTTTATCGCGTGTTCTTGACCTTTTTCCCTTCAACTCATTTTTGAACATCTTACATTTTCTCTTTCTTCTCATAATCGCATTTCAACGTTACACGTGCCATCCCGTCCCGTCCCGTCCCGTCCCGTCCCGTCCATACACGCTCCCCTGTGCGACGAGACCCTCTCCACCCGTCCTCATCCCGCCCTTCCCAGCCTCCCTCCTGCTCCGCCCTACCCTACCCTGCTCTGTCCGGCTCCGCTCCGTTCCGCTCCGCCCTGCGGACCCGCCCACCCGCACTGATGACGTCACGACCGGGTTCGACCCGCGCGCCTCTCCCGCCAGCGCCGCAGAGGCGGCGACGGCAGCGGCAGGAGCAACGGGGGAAGCTGCAGTCGCGCCCGCGGGTGCGGCACCAGCCGCCGCCCTGCCGTTGCTCATCATCATTACAAGCACCGGCAGCGACACCATCGTCATCGGGAGCATCCATCGTCATGAAGCCCAGGGTCTCGGGTGGCGCTGTGCCCCGCCCCGCCCCTCTATCACAGGTCCCGCCCTCGCCCTCGCCCTCGCCCTCGCGCGCGCAAAGCCGTACTGCGGTTCGGATGCGCGGCATCAGATGCGCCTGCCTCCGCGCTGGAGAGGCCGCGCCGCGCCGCGCCCCGCCCCGCCACGCCACGCACCCCGCCACGCCCCTCGCCACGCCCCCCGCCACGGGTCTGGGCAGCATTAAAGAGACCGCGAGATGTCGGAGCCTCGCGAACGCGCGGGCGCTGTTTGCGAAAGGCGAAATATTTCATCTCCCTTCCGGAAATACAAACACTGCTGTTTCATTCAGTCGGTTTACCCCAAAGGAAGAAGGAGACGTATTGACGAAATGAAATTTTTATCGCGTTTTCTCGTCTGTCTCCACAGAGATTGGCGCTCTGCTATTTCCGTTAATATCCGCGGCGGTTTTCAAAATCAGGGGTGGAGTATTTGCCAATAATACGCTTATATGTCGACGAACTGTTGTATTTCTCTTATCTGTTTCCATTCAAATTACACAAAGAAAATTTTTCAAGTATCCCTTCCCCCTACAGTTTGTTTTGATCGGGGACATTTCGATTGCCAGTGGAATTCGTTAGTCGTGTCTTCTTTACAGAAAAAGAAGGCACCGTGCACTCAGGTACGTAGTAACTAGATGCGATTATACTGTATAGAAAAGACAGCTGTGGTACTACGATAAATGGGAAGGAGGATGACCTAGATCGAAGCGTATTACATTGCTTTGCTTTGTTCCTGCTTATCTCAGCACCATCGTACATTTCAAAATTCTTTCTCCCTTTATTGCATTCCTTCCCTTTCAATTTTCTTCCCTCTTGTCCTCGCTTATTCCCGAATCCACAGTCATTCTCGTCTCATTTAATTTTAGTCTATTTGATTTGTCTATATGTTTTCTTGTGAGCACACGTGGCCCTCTTCTCCATCCCTCTTAATTCCATCCCTCTCAACCCCACCGACCTATTAGTTGTGCTTCGCACACGGCCACCCGCTTTGCCTTTCGCTAGACGTCGCAGCGCCGTATCGACGCGTGCGCGCCTGCCGCGTGGTTGTGCGTGCGCCAACTCACGCGACCTTGCGCGCGCCACGCACACTCATACACACACACTCATACACACACACACACACACATACGCGCGCGCGCTTAGTGAGTGCAAGGTGAGGGCAGGGGAGGGGGCGTGGTCGGGTGCGGCAGCGGTTAAAGCGGCCGCCTCGCAGATTGAGCGCTTGCGTCGCTTCAAAAAGGACGGCTCGCTGCGTGCATCCCCCCCACGTCCCGCAGCCCCCGTCCCTCCCCGCTGCTCGTCCTTCAGGCGGCTTCGCAGCAGGAGCTTGCGGCCCGCCACCGAGCCACGCCGCCCGCTTTGTCAGCGCGAGGGCGCGCGGGCGAGGCGAGGCATGTGTGGCGCGCGGCGTGTGTTGAGCCCCAGGAGCGAAGGGTGGCGCCAGCCACTGCCACCGCCACCGCCGCCAGCGCCGGTGCTGCCTCGCGGCGGAGGGCCCGCGGAGGCTCCGCGCATCGTAATCGCGCAGGCGGTAGGCGATGGAGGGACGGCAGGCGCGAGGCGGGGCGCGGGCGGGGCGTGGGCCGGACGCGGGGCGGCCCGGGCGCGCTTCGGCACCGCGCCGCAAGTGCGGGCGCCGCGGGCGGGGCGGTGCTCCAGCCCAGCTTCCGCCCGCCCGCCCCCGCCCCCGCGCTGCAGCCACGTGGCCTCCGACGACGATCCGTCTCCGGAGGCTGCTTTTAATTAGGCGGTGGAGGGCGCAACAGGCCGCCCGCGCGCCCTGGCCCCTGGTTCGCGCGTTGGGGGGCGGGGGCACGCGATCTTTGGCTCTGGCTCTGCGAGAGGCCTGTGGCAATTTTCTCTTAGTGGAAGCCACTGCTTCCGATTAGAAAATGCCAATCTGAAGTAAATGTCGATCTTGCCAATGTGCTGTGAGAAGAAAAAAAATGAACTTCCTCCAAAATGCAAATATTACGTTTGTTGAAGTCGAAGAAAACATACCTGGTGAACACACAACAATACTTTTCCGAGATGTAAAGCTAACGTATTTCTAAACGTATACCTTATTTTCTCTAATATGAGCTCAGTTATTTTTTTAAAAAATTAGCTACAAATATGTAGGAGAAATTAGTACGTGAATGTATTGTAATGAAGCGAAATATTTTTCTTCAAAAATGGCTGTTTTTTTCAAACACTATTACAAATATGTATATTTTTTTTAATTTACGACATAGTACCTGCGATTGTCTTAGGAAGGGGTGAAAGTATATGCAAATGAGCCTACATTTGAGAAAATACACTGTTTTGTTGGACATCTCCGGTTATTTGTTTGGCATTACTTTCAGTTAAAGAGGAGTGTACTGTAATGTGAAGTATGAAGCGGTACCTTTTTGTAAACATTAATGTACGGAAACTTAATTTGCATGAATGAGGCTGTGCTGCTATCTTAACAGAATCGTGAGAAATCAAAACGCATATAGGTTTTACCTTAATAAATTACTTTGCGTTTGAAATCGTCTAAAATCAACTAAATTAAATACCTTTACAATGATACACAAGTGTACACATACACTTAAACTAGTGTGAATGACTTTAGAGTTGTGAATGAGGTAAGGTTTTGTCATCAATATTTATACCTCTACATGATTGATTTTGTTCTTGGACCACCGAGTATAAAGTCATAGAACATTCTGGTTAGACAGAGTTTCTGGAAGACAAGTTAAAAATAATGAATATGACATTTCACCGTTATTTCTTAATTGAGTTTTTCTTTCTTCATAAATTGCAGTAAATAATATTATTGCTTATTTTCTCATTATTTGAAAGTGAAGGAAAAGAGACATTTAGGGAGGTTTAATTCTCGCTTGCTAATTATTATGATTTCGTCAACCAGTCTGCTGATATTGCATAATTACATTTTTTCACTGATGCAACCAGAAGTCTCTTTTTCTAACGAGTACCTCGTGCATCATTCCACGTAAATACTTTCTGCACTGAAAGGAGAAAAGTTCTTTACTGCAGAAAAAATTACTTACTAAATTCGGATAAAATTTTCTCCTGTGGTGCGTCACATTATGAATTGCTTTTAATCTTCTTTTACTTGATATCTTATGAAACGGTAATCAGGATGATCCTTTTTAAAACCTTCATTTTAGTCACTTAGGAAATTAACAATATTTTTATTTCAAAACCGTATGTTTTCGAAAGATCGTATTTACTCAGAAGATGACACCTTGTCAAAAAGAAAGGCAAGAATTGTTGATATTATACGTGTTAGCTGGAACAGAGCTTAAGAGAATGCCTATTCAATCAATTGTCCACGTTCGCGTCTGAACCAATTTGTAGAAGAAAATATCGTAGACTGCAACACTGGTACAACTCAAAAAATACAAATTTTGTGTTATGACACTCATTTTAAAACATTTTATAATATCTTAATTCACCAGTTACTAAGCGTGTTATACTTACAATTCAACTACCACTTACAACTCTGAACACGTGTTTTTCGAAACTTCATTTTTCAATTTGTGCTAGAATTGCAGCCCACGAACGATGGGGAAATGGTTTCGTCGCCAGATGAAAATGGAATATACCGTGGGCAGGAGGTGTGACAAAAGTACAAAACTGGCAAAGTCATAACAAATTGAAAATATTTGTCCTGGATTGTTAACTCAACACTACCTGTTCCGGTGTCATCCCCATACAATATCACAAGAAAAATATATTTTATCTTCTGACATTGTATAGCAAATCTGAATATCAAATCTGAAATCTGAAATCCCGCATTTAACAGATTAAATCACCACCAGCTAATTACTAAAAATAAACTCTGACACGTTACAAGATCCCCCTCCAAAAAACAAATCATAACCGTAAATTTACAAGGTAGAATATGAATATCGTGAGTGATTAAGTATGAAACTTTTTTGTGTTGTAATACTTCTTAAATAATCCAGATTTTGCGTATGTAATGGTTGTAAGAGAACGAAGAACAATCATTCTAAAGTTGACTAGAACATGATGATTTTAATAGATAGCAGATAACTATTTACACTCATTGTATTTAGAAAAGTTTACATTCGTAAGGAATTTTGACAGTACTTTTGAAGTGTGAGTACTCCGCATTGTAGTCTCGTAGTGTATTCAGAATTAGATATACGTACACAGATGAATTATATTTTTTCGATTTCAACCTTTGAAACATATACACATTATTTTTTCTCTTTTATATTGTAATGTTTGGTTAAATAATGACAGGCGCAACTTACATATACGCAAATCCATACAAAATGCAATTGTCCATCACTTGTGTCGTCGAGCAGAAAGTAAATAAAATAAATAAAATAAATACCACCTTCCCAAAAAAATATAGCCAAGATATCATATGAAGCACAACACACGCGTTTTCGGACCTGACGCCATGAAATAAACACCTCTTCTCAGAAACGGCTACGGACATACACGCAACGTCTTCTGTTTTTGTTATAAGTATTCTCATTCTTAATTCAATAGTGAATGATTAGATGGTCAATAATGTATATTATGAGAAGTTGAAGTTGAAAAGGAAAAATATCGGCGCTGATTTCGACATTCTGAATCCTAAAAATGTAAAATGCATAAACGTACGATAATAAAAAATGCAGTATTTTTATATCCACTTCCTTTAAGTTTGTTCGTATTTCACGTATTGATTTCTTTATTTTATGTATTAAATTTTCACGACCGATAGTTACATAATTGAAATGATGAGTTTTTAAGTGCGAGTATATTTAAAATGAAATATCAAATGACGATTTTGCAATAAAATATATGAATTACTAACTTAAATTTATGCATTTATTTAAAGTAATTTAAACATTAAGAATTTAAATACAAAAATACCTATATCAATAAAATTGCTTTCGGCAAAATTTATGTTAAAGTCATCTATTCTGGTGTGAAAGTGATATTTTATTGAATGATTTCGGCATACATTTTTATCAATTTTTATCGTTTCCTTACAATTATTTATACACAAAATGAATATTTAAGCAAAACTTAACAATTTTGCTAAAAATTTTGCGTTGCTAATATTTTTGTCGTAAATGCTTCAAGTTTGTATGAAACATCTTCATTATGATAAAAACATAAAATTATCTTACTTTATCGAAAATATTAAAACAATACCTATTTTCGCGCAACACGTTATATGAATTACGTTTTTATGAAAATGTACAACATTTATACATGTAGATTTTGAAATCCCGATTGCATTTAAGCCACTTTTAGCACTGAAAATAGCTAATAGTGAGATGAGCCTTAAATTATAAGCGTTTTCAATGAAGACATTGGTG